TGGACGCACCCACCACCTCCCCACAGAGCCCCTCACTTACCCCTCTGCTTGTCTGACTCCGTGGTGGGGAGGGGCCGATCCTCAGAGCCTCCTGGGGGTCAGGGGGTGAGGCCTGGGGGCTGCCTTCTGCCTCCTGGAGCCCGGTGGCTTCCCCCCAGCCTGGCCCCAACGTCCCCCCTGCCGTGACCACCCCTTGCCATCTAGCAGCCTCTGAGACCTGGGAGCCCTGAATCCAGGCATCTCTGCCTGACCCCAGCCCCCTGGGACTCAGGTTGGTCCTGAGTATCTGGGGACATTAGATGCGCTGACAGGCTCTCAGCACCCTCTGGGGTGGTCTGTGCTCCCTCAGAGCAGAGCTTTCAGTGACCTAGCAGCTGCGGAGATGGGCCCTGTGGGTGCGGGGCCTGGGGTGTCAGAGGGCCCGGGAATGAGGGCAGGAAGGGGGTGAGGAGCTGGGGCTGACCCTGGGGTCCCAAATCTCTCAGGCTCCTCCTACTCTGTGCTGTGGCCCCTAAGACCCTCCCACTGCCCAAGTGACACGTTGTGGGCCCAGGTGAGGGGAAGGGAGTAGACAGGGATATGAGGGCATTTAAGGAGCAGATGTCGGCTGGGTGACCACCCCTGGAGCCCCTCACCCCCGATTCAGCTGGGAAAATCCCTGGGCAAACAGAATGGAGAAACTGAGACAATGAAATTCAACAACCCCAACAGTTTGGGCAGCTTGGGGCCACCTTGTGAGAGGCAATCTCCCCCAACCCAGGACACCTGAGAGCAAACGGTTTAGCCCCCCGCCCCCACCAGAGAACACACAGCTTCGGTCACCCAGGGCCGGGACATACAGGACAGACACCGGTTAGTGCCATTTGTGCAGCCAAAGCCAAGGGCAGATGAAGTCGGGGAACATATAACATAAACCCCATTAATGCCAGACAGGCCCAAGGTAAGCGTCACACAGCAAAGCAGAGCAGAGGATTCCCCTGAACTCCCCTGTGTGCCGCTGAGAGCCATCAGCGTGTTAAAAACGAACCGAGACAGCCGAGTGTTCCACTGACACCCCCCGGAGTCTCACCTGCAGGAAAAAACCCGATAAAGAGCCCTGAGGACAAAGCCCACGCCTCTTCCCGGCCATGAGCCCTTTCCTTCCTCCTGCTTGCTGAGGGTCCCCGTGAGACTTGCAGCCAGGGGAGCCGTCGGCTGTGGCAGCTCCCCCGGGCTCCCCCATCCTGCCTCCCAGCCACCCCGTTCCTCTGACCTCCCAGTGAGCTGAAGCACCCCGCCCCGGCCCCCCTCTTTCCTGTGACATGTCTCGGGAGCGAAAGCAGAGCCCTGCCCAGGCTCTGCCCTGTCCTCTCTTCTACCCGCAGCCCTTCCTTTCCTCACGGTCCCGGCTTTAATAAAGAAGCTCTCAAACCCAGCTAGACTCCAGGAGCGAATCCTCCCTCCCCGGACTCAAGACCCCACATGCCACAGGCCCCACTGAGGCCCCAGGCCGGCCCCTCTCCAGCAAGAACAGAACCCTGACAGCTCAGAAAGACGGGGTCAGGGCCCCTCACCTGAGACCAGGAGCTCCAGGGGCTCACTGGGCGGGGACAGCAGGTGGGGGTTGGTGCTGACTGAGCTGTAGCACCTGTAGGTCCCCCCGTGGGCCGAGGTGACAGGACTCATGGGGAACTCTGCCTGGGACGGCTGAGCTCCGTGCTTTGACCTAAGACGCAGGGGGGGATCGGCTGTCCCCTCCTTGGACAGAAGGAAAGTGTCCCTCGGGGTCTGTGACTGACACAGCAGGGTCACGTTGTCTCCTGAGGTCATCCTGGGGCCTGGCTGCACCGAGAGGGCGGGTCTGTCAGGCAGGTGCCCTGNTCTGTCCCCTCCTTGGACAGAAGGAAAGTGTCCCTCGGGGTCTGTGACCGACACAGCAGGGTCACGTTGTCTCCTGAGGCCACCCTGGGGCCTGGCTGCACCGAGAGGGCGGGTCTGTCAGGCAGGTGCCCTGGAGAGAGGGAGGGAGGGTGAGGGCCGCCTGCCCACCTTGCTCTGACCTGACAGTCCCCAGGCCTCTCTCTGAGGACCCTCCTCTCTGTCTGTCTCTGTCCCCTCTGAGTCACCGTCCCCTCCCATCCCCTGTCTCTGTCTCTCCCTCCCTGGGCCCTGCACNGGTCTGTGTCTCTCCCTCCCTGGGCCCTGCACTTTCTTTCTGGCCTCAGCACCTGGACCCCCAGCATGGCCTGTGCAGAGCCTGGGTCCCTGACTGAACCCGCTGGCTCCTCACCTGCCACCAGGATGTCCAGGGGGTCACTGGGGGCCGACCACTCAGAGGAGAGGCTGTGTCCACCATAGCATCTGTACCGGCCCCCGGGGGAGCTGCTCACAGTGTCCAGGGGGAAGCTGGCCTGCGAGAGCCCAGCCTGGGGCTGCAGGACAATGCTCTGGGGCAGGTCCTGTCCCCCCTCCTTGGACAGAGCGAATCTGTCATAGCCGACATCAGAGCGACACTGGAGGGTCAGGCTCTGCCCAGAGGCCACGATGGGGCCCTGCTGGGTCAGGAGGGTCGGCTTCTGAGACTCACCTGGAGAGACCGGACCTGAATTACAGGGGCCGCTCCTCCCATAAGCCCCCTTCTGTCCGCCCCCAGGTCTCACTGTCTGTGTCTCTGACCCAGGAGCCCCTGTGCTCCCCTCCCCTCATCCTCTCACATGGGGCTCCCCTCCCAGCAAGGATGCCCAGAACCTGGCTGACATCTCAGTCCATGGATGGGACAGTAATGGGACTCACCTGGGACCAGAAGCTCCAGAGNCCTGAGACCAGAAGCTCCAGGGGGTCACTGGGCTCTGACCACACCTGGGGGCTGCTCCTGTCACACCCATAGCATCTGAAGGTCCACCTGTGGCTGGGGGTCACGGGGCCCATGGGGAACAGGGCCTGGGACTTCCCACTGGGCTGTGGCTGTGAGTCCCGGGTCCAGGGGAGCCTGTGGTCTCCTTCCTTAGTCAGAATGAACCTGCCAAATCCCTGCCCTGAGTGACACTGGAGGGTCACCTTCCCTCCTGAGGCCACCACGGGGCTGGGCAGGGCCGAGAGGCTGGGTTTGCTGTAGGCTCCTAGGAGAGGAGGGGGCANGTGCTGCGAACACCCCCCTGAGACATGGGGAATGGGACCCGGCCTCCAGGCTCAGATGGAGAGGTCGGAGTTTGGGGGACCTGAGAAGCAGAGACCCCTCGTTCAGTGGAGCAGAGGGAAGAGCCCAGGTCAGAGCCCGCGTGCGGTGTCGCCTGGAGCACGACTGACCCTCCCCGGGCAGTGGGCAGATCTNCGCTCTGACCAGCCATTGGGGCTGAAATAGTAACAGCGATATCTCCCTACATGTAGCTCTGTCATCTGTGGGATGGGGAACTTGCCCATGTTCATGACCTTCCATTCGGTCTTTGTGTTCGAAAGCCCAGGAATTTTTTCATTATACAGATGAAACACCTTGGTCTCCAGGATCCCCCGACACCAGA